TACAACGACCACGTGAACTCCGACATGTCGTACGACGCGTTTCGCGCGCTGTGTCGCGAGTGTTGGCTACACAGGTACGGATTCGTAGTGATAGACAAGGACAGTGCGCTTACAAAGGGGAGATACAGAAGAGGATTTAACGAGTTCGCGATACCGTAACGCCATCAGTTGTCGTCCGTGCCTCGACCGAGACGAACATGACTAACGAGCGCGAAAAAATCGCGAGGGAGATCGAGCGGACGAGCGAGTCGATCCGCAGGAAGCACCGCGCTCTGAAGACCGGTAGAATCGACGAGGACCGTGCGCTGGACAGGCGTTTCGGGCCTATCGTCGAGCCGTTGCGACGGATCGCCGGTCCCGTCGTGCGCGCAACGAAGACAGAGTCGTATGCCGCTACTCCTAAACGCAAGAGGGAGGAGGAGGAGGAGGAGGAGGAGGACTTCTTCGTGACTCCGCGCACGCGTTTCTTCGATCGAACGCCGATAACCTCCACACCGCATGCACCTACCCAACCGCCGGAGTCGATGGACTCCGAGACGACGACGTACGCGATGCTCGCGCCGCCCGACCGTTCATCGGAGAACCGAGACACGTCGCGAATTCACTCGGGTCCGCTGAGTCTGAGGTACGTCGAGCCTGTCCTGCGAGGACACAACGACAGCGGTATGGATCGCGTGTACGGCGCTTACTTGGACAAGGACGGATTGATGCTCGGCAGTAAGCATTTCGACGTGGATAACGAGGATAACATAATTATCGACGGCGTGCGATACGCCGGTACACCCGGCCTCTACGAGCTGATCTTCAAGAGAATTCCCGACGATACGCTTCACACGGAACAAGATATGCGCGAGTACAAGAGCCTGCTGCAGGCGACGAACGCGCACAGACACAAGCACCATCCGCTGGGCCGAGTACTGGCCAACAGGGGATACAAGTACAAGAATGTAATAAAGCCGTTGGTCACGCCGAAGAAAAAATCTGGAAAAGGAGTACCTCGCGCCACGACGTTGAACGACGGCGCGATCGAGTACGTGCACTGGGACGATCCCAACGAGCTGGTGGATCGTCTGCGGTTGCTCGACGCCTCGCATCGAGCGGACAACGCCGCTCACGGCAACGAGATGTTGTCGATCATCGAGGAACTTCGCAAAGCGGGCGTCATTATAAATTGAGTCGCGTATCGACGAAACGATTCAGTCGATCTCGCGCCATCCGATATCATTTATCTCCATGAACGCTGAGAGGCGCAGACTCGACGAGGAGTTGCACGCTCCGGCGAGAAGAAATTTTCCGCTAAGACGCGTCGTGGTACGGGGATACGACGATCTGTGGCAGGCCGACATCGTCGAGATGCGGCCGTACTCGAGCCAGAACAGGGGCCGTCACTACGTGCTCACCGTCATCGACGTGCTGAGCAAGTACGCGTGGGCCGCGCCGCTCAGGAGCAAGGGCGGTAGCGAGACGGCCGACGCTATCGCGAAGATAATTCGCGAGAGCGGGAGATGCCCTAAGAACCTGCAAACGGATATGGGGAAGGAGTTTTACAATTCGGATGTGCGGAAACTCTTGAAGAAACATACAATCAATTACTACTCCACGTATTCCGTAATGAAGGCGTCGGTGGTCGAGCGGTTCAATCGCACGCTTAAGAACGACATGTGGAAGATGTTTACGCTCAACGGCACGTACAAGTGGGTCGACGCGCTGCCGCGTCTCGTGTCGGATTACAACGCGCGCAAGCATCGCACCATCGGCATGAGACCCGCCGACGTGACCCCCGCTGTCGCCGAGAGACTCCTGGGCACGGTGTACGGCGCGATAAAGATCGCCGGTCCCGCGAAGTTCAAAGTGGGCGACGCGGTACGCGTGAGCAAGTACAAGACGATCTTCGAGAAGGGCTACACGCCGAATTGGACCACGGAGGTGTTTCAAATCGTCAGAGTGCAGAGGACCAATCCCGTGACGTATCTCTTGGAGGATTACCGCGGCGAACCGGTAGCCGGAGGATTCTACGAGCACGAATTGCTTCGCGTCGCTGATCCCGACGTGTATCTGGTTGAAAAGGTGTTGCGCAAGAAAGGAGACAGGGTGTACGTCAAGTGGCTGGGATTCGACGGATCGCACAATTCGTGGATAAATAAACGAGACGTCGTGTGAATAATAATAATAATAATTTTTATTCATATAACATATATATTAAAATATGTATATTTCAAAAATAAATATACCAGTATATCACGATATCGGTGTAGTTCTTTATTCCTTTCAACTCTCTCTCTCTGTCTGTAACGTTACAGGATACATACGTGCGAGTACAAACTTGGTATAAAACTCAATACGTCTAGGTACGAGTATAAGTAAAACTCACAATCAGTCAACCTCAATACATAACACTCGATACGTAAGCCTCAATACATAATACTCGATACGTAAAACTCAATACATAATACTCGATAAGTAAAACTCATTACATAACACTCAATACATAAAACTCAGTATAAAACTCAGTATAAAACTCAGTTTAAAACTCAATACATACAGGTATAGGTAAAACGCAATATAAAAGATACATAAAACTCAATACGTCTAAGTATAGGTACAACGCAATATACAAGATACATAAAACTCAATACGTCTAAGTACAACGCAATATACAAGATACATAAAACTCAATACGTCTAAGTATAGGTAAAATGCAATATAAAGGATACATAAAACTCAATACGTCTAAGT